TCTCCAAATTCTGGGTCCGTCTTTCGGTACTAGGGATATTCAACCACCAAAGATCGTGGTGGATAGATACGAACTCTCCACCCTTAATCACAGTTTCGATTCAAACTTTGAGAATGTAAAAACTCTGGTAGAGAATGCTTCACTTTAATGGACTTTACACTACTTGAATCCGGGTTCCAACGCGGGTATTAGACGAGGAAATGGTCTCTTATAGTCACTTATAATTTGAATAGAAGAAGATGACCATTTCAAATCTCTTGTGTATTATTTTTAGATATCTTATAAAAAATATAAAACTAAAAATATATTTGTAAAGGACTGTAAAAGTGTTTAACCAAAATTTGGGATTTCGGTCAAAGCTTTATTTTAGAAGAACTCGGGTTACTGATAATCAAATATATAATGAATAAAAGGAATTGACTTTGATAAGCAGAAGAAAGCAAAATAAATCTGTATATTGCAAGAGTATTTTCGTGTGCTTACAAATGTTCAATCTTCTCCCTTTTATAGCTACCTCGAAGTAATAGAGTCTTTATGACAATTAATAGAATTAATGTAACGTTATAATTGTCAATAATAACTGATTCTTTGCAAATTCCATAATGCTTTCCGTAAATAGTGCCTATTAGTTACCAATAATACGTATCTGTACCACTTTTACTATAAAAGTTCATTCTTCTGATATAACTGTTGAATATCAATAGGTACGAGCTTTTATCCTTCCTCTGCCCGTGTCTGTTGAAGCTCGTGCCTTTTTTCTTTGCCAATCAGTCACTCTTCTACTAGTCCACGTGTCATGATATGTCACCTCATATTTAATTCCATACACGAACTCAATTTTTCCCAATACAGATAGTCCCCCCACTTGCCATTTATTCTTCAATAGAATATTTGGAAAGTGGATCTCATTAAAGCGGGAATTTTTGCCGCCATTATTTCTTCTCTGGAACTGACGCTTCATATGTCATTTCCATTTAACGTTCACGACACGTGGCACCTCTCGATTGGTTCAGCAACTTTTCAGCGCTTTTAGGGCTTTTTTACGGCTTCATTAATTACGAAATGACAGCTTTCATCATGACATTTATATCATTGCGTTTTTTCCTTTGACGGTTGCTTTTGAGTATAAATATAAGGCTTCATCTTTGCCTTTTTCACAAAAGGTTCAGAATATTCAACTTTAGTCTTCTTCTTCCTCGTACTATTATGTCTTCTTCAAACCCTACCCTCGTAGAGTTCCTATCGTTGATAACCTTCCTCTTGCTCCTATTAGAAGTAGGAGAGGAGGAAGACTTCGTAGTTTAAGTTCTTCATCTTCTCGGGGTCCTTCTCTTCCTTCTACGAGTTCAACTCCACCTTCTAGAACTAGAGGTTCCCTTTCTCAAAGGTCTTCATCTAGAAATAAAGAGCCCAATGAACCTCTTCGTGAACCTTTGGTTGACGAAATTGTTCCTGCTGAACTATCTTTTTATAATGATAGAGAGTCCATCAGAAACCAAGTTTCTTCTATGTCTTCATTAGATCGTGCTGATATTTACCCAACTCAGATCACTAAAGGTTTGATTTTCGTGGTTCGTAGGGATTGTCATTGGAGTCATGATTTTCCCATTATAATTCCCAATGCAAACCAAAGAATCACTTCTTATTTTATTGGATTTTCTTTCGTATGTACATACCCTTTTACTTTGAATTTCAAACCTCCTATTGACCCGGTTATCCTCGAATTCTGTCATTTTTTTTATGTTCTCTTAGGACAAATTGGCCCTATCGTGTGGAGGGCCGTTGCTTGTTTGAGGCATTTGGCCAACATGGCTGGCTTGCCTTTTACTTTCTTCCATTAATCCGTCTTTATTCTCCCAAACTTTTCCGTCATGGAATTTTTAGCTTAGTGGTGAGAAGTAAAAGAGTTTTGGTCAGCCCAGAGGACGATAAAGACCGTGGTTGGTATGCCAGGTTTGTTGCTGCCCCCACTGTTGGTTTAGTGGGTGAAGAGAATGTTCCATTTCCTGAGAAATGGAACTCTGCACGTAAGTTTTCTTTTCATAACTTTTCTATGCCTCTCTTTTTATTTTTGATGATTGTCATTTAACTTCTTCTTCTTTTTCAGCAACCATGGGAATTGTTGATGAAATTCCCAATTTCCGTGGTTGGGTAGAAAAGTTGTTAAGTGTTGCTCCGATGGAAGGTAGATCTTGGAAAAACCTTTCTCATCGGTTTGGTTGGAAAGTGAAAACTCACGGTAAGTGCTTTTTCCTTTATATCCTTCGTATTTCTATCTGCTTCTTTCCTTAAAACTTACTTTAATCCTTCTTTTTATCAGGATTTCCCATTCGAGGCATAACTGTTGAGGTCGTCATAGCTTCCAGAGTTTCTTTGGAAAGAGCCCAAGAGATTGTTCTGGGCTCTTCATCGAAAAGGAAGGCCTCCGCTGATCAAGATTCTGAAGAAGAGGAAGAACAAGATGAGGGTTCTTTGATAAAAAGACCACGAGCTAGAAGACGCATTATTTCAGATGATGAAGCATCTCCCCCTCGTTCTATTCCTTTAATTGAGCCCGTTGAACCCGCTTTGGTAATTTCCGATGATGACACTCCCGCGACTGCTCGTGACTCTGTTGATCAGCTTTTTGCTCGTGGGTTTGATAGTGAAAGTTTAGGTCTGGTTTCTGATGAAGCGCCCCATCGCCTCATTTTCCATGCCTGCTCCTGTGACATCTTCTTTACCGGTTGTGACCGCTACTGTCGCTGCTTCGCCCCAGGCTATTTTGAATCCTTCCACAGTCCCTCCTACAGCTGTCCATCATACTGAGGTTGGTTCCTCAAGTGGAAGTTAAGCTATGAGGCAAGTTATCATCGAGGTTCCTGCCGATGGTAACCTTTTGAGGAAATCAGGTCGGGCTGATGTGTAGTTGAAGCCTCTGATTGGTCCAGTTGAGAAATCCAAACTTGAGAGTCACAACTCTATGACTTGGATGAATGACATAGTGCAATCATCTTTAAAGGTATTCTTTTTCATACTTTACTTCACCCTTCTTTTATTTAAGGTTCTTACTGTTTTTCCTTTTTTTTAGATCAATCTAGTTGGCACGGAGATGATGAAAAGAATTTCCCACACGGAGCAATTAATGCATGATTATCAAGTTGAAGCGGACAACTGGAGAGAACAGTATGAAGGTCTTCAAATTGACATGGAAGTGTTGGAAGAGAGTAAGTGTACGTTGGAGCAGCAACTGAAGATTTTAACTTCAGAGTTAGCAATCGAGAAGGCTTCCTCAAATCAAGCTGATAAGGACAAGAATCTCCTCGAAACATCTTTCTCTGAGCAGCTTTCTAAAGCCAGTGAAGAAATCAGAGAACTGAAGGCTTTGCTAAGCAAAAAGGAAGCTTGTGCTGGTGAACTCGTGCAAACCCTTTCTCAGACCCAAGAAGATCTTCGTGAGTCTTCTAACAAGGTCAGTTTTTTAGAGAGTTCACTCGCTCCCCTGCAAGCTTTTTATGATTCTGCCCTGGCTGAAAATGAAAAGCTTAAAAACGAGATTGATCAGTGGGAACAAGATTACGAGATTCTTGAGGACAAGACTGCAATGGAAGTGAGTTGGGCAATTTTAAACACACGCCACGATACCCTAGTGGAAGTTGGCCAAGAGGGCTTTAGTTTTGATGCTGAGTTAGCCAAAATAAAAGAGACTATTGAAAAAACACAGCAAAACCAAGACTTCCCTTCTCCCATGGCTGATATTCCCTAGCACATTGAAGATGATATGGGTACGGTGAATGCTCCAACTCCTTTAAGCCATCACGAACCTTCTGCTACTTATGACCCTGCTTCAGATCCTTCTTCAGCCCCTTAGTGAAAAGTTTATGACATGTTACTTTGCCCTTTTTTTTTGGAATGTGGTTGTAACCCCCGGTCCCATTTGGGAGTTTAGTTTTATGGAAATGATAAGTCCCCAGACCTTTTCGGGGCACTTTTGTATAAATGACAAATAGTTTATGACTAAGTTTTGTACTTAGTCTGAACTTTTTAATATTAAGAAGTTTTCTGTTTTAACTTAGTTATTTTGAGCTTCTGTTTTGCTCGTCTTTGCCTTTATACTTTAAAGACTTGTTAATTAATTCGTGGGTTTATGTTTTACCCGTTTTTTGCATTTTTTTGTCTTATAAAATGCTTTTTTAACTTCATGGATTTTCGAATCACACATGAATTTTATAAAAGAGGGCCCTTTTATTTTGGACACTTAATGAAGAAGACGTATCAACTTCATAATGGTGCAAAAGTACGACAAAAGAAATAGGAATACACATATTTCTTGAAATAACATGGATAAAGTTTTCATTTGAAGTTTAAATAACATCTTACATGTGTTCAAATAACTTCTATAACTTTTCTCGTAACTGTTTTCTTTTACAACAGATTTCAAAAGAGAAAATAAAACTCAAGGTTTTCCTTTACAACTTGTTTCTATACATTGCCTTTAACCTAGATATCATAAATTTTTTGAAATCTATAAGGTTTTTCGAATGGCTTTGTTATTTGGCCTGTAACTTTGCTCTGAACTTCACTCATTTGATGAGTAGAGTTTGAGGCTTTGATTTGTACTTTCGACTCTCTTCTTAGTCTTCTTTGCCTTCTTTATACGTATGCCGTATATTATATAGTCCCCCAAGTGTTTGAGCTTTGAAGTATGATATCTCGAGCACTTGTTTACTCCTCTTATTTGGTCCTTTCCCTGAAAAGGAAAAACATACGGGACTCGGAGGTGCGATTATAGATGAAGACTGCTAAACCCGTTTGAATTTCTATCAGAATAAATTGTAACCCTAGACCGGGAATTTATGTTTTTCCTCGTGTCTTGTAGGTCGTGACTCATCATTTAGTACGGGTTAGCTTTTTGCCTATCATCTAAAATCGTTAGTAAAATTTTAATAATTCAAAAAATAAAATTCGAAAATGAGGGTACCTGCCCGTGGATACTTCTTTTCCTTATAAATAATATCTCTTTAGATGAACGACATTCCAATGTGAAGGTAAAATCTTACCATCCACTGTTTCCAGCTCGTATGCTCCCTTTCCTGCGATACCGTGAATCTTATAAGGTCCTTCCCAAGTTGGACTTAACTTTCCCGCGTTAGCCGCTCTCGTGGATTGAAAAACCTTTTTGAGTACGAAGTCCCCAATCTTGAAGTATCTTAGGCGAGCTTTCCGATTATCATATCGTTCCATAACCTGTTTTTGTGCTGCCATTCTTATTAACGCAGCTTCCCTCCCTTCCTCAAGTAAATCTAAGTTTATTCGCATTTCTTCTTCATTGGATTCCTCAGTTGCTTGTGCATATCTCGTGCTCGGCTCCCCTATCTCGACTGGGATCAAGGCTTCAGCTTCGTATACTAGTGAAAATGGTGTTTCCCCCGTACTTGTTTTTGCTGTCGTGCGATAAGCCCATAAAACACCAGGCAACACCTCTAGCCAATTGCCTTTCGATTTCTCCAATCGTTTCTTCATATTGTTGGTAATGACTTTATTCATCGATTCAGCTTGTCCATTACCCACTGGATGATAAGGTGTTGAGGTAATCCTTTTGATTTGCCAACTTTGAAAAAACTTTGTGATTTGCGCGCCTATAAATTGTGGGCCGTTGTCACATACGATTTCCTTTGGTACGCCGAATCGGCATATGATATTTCGCCAAATGAAATCTCTGACCTCTTTTTCTCATACCTGTTTAAAAGCACCTGCTTCTACCCACTTAGTAAAGTAATCAGTGAGTACTAGCAAAAATCTTACCTTGCCTTTTGCTTGTGGTAGTGGACCCACGATATCCATCCCCCACTTCATAAAAGACCACGGTGCAATGACTAGATGTAAAAATTCTGCGGGTCTATGCATATTGTTACTGTATCTTTGGCACATGTCACATTTAGCTACAAAGGTTTCCGCTTCTTCTTCCATTTTGGGCCAATAATAGCCTGCTCTAATCATGGTTTTCACTAAAGATCTTCCTCCCGCGTGATTTCCACAATGTCCCTCGTGTATTTCTCTCATCACATAATCTGTTTGAGAATGTTTCACGACCCCAGCTCACCCTCCATGAACATGTCGTGAGGGCACCTAGTTCCTACAACTAGGTAAGCCTAATAATGCGGAAATTCAATATAACTCGCGGAAATAATTAATCAAAACTGAACATATGTAAAATAATAGTTGTATATAAGGCCGCTCGGCCTATACAACTCAAAGAAATGCGGAAGTCTACAACTCAATCCCAAAACCCGGAAACTCACGGGAAACACAGGCTAATAGAAAGGAAATACACTACTCTAACTACAGAATGTCTACACAACCGAAAGAAAGGAAGGTCATATACTAAAACTGGAATAAGATAGAGACTTCTGGTCTGTGGACGTGGCAAATATACCTCAAAGTCTCTGCTAGATCTCTCCTCCACGAGGATAGTACGCCTGGGTGGAGGTACCTGGAGCTGCACATGTAAAACATGCGCAGAAGGGGCATAAGTACACCACAGCGGTACTCAGTAAGTGCCAAGCCTAACCTCTGTTGGGTAGCGACGAGGAAGGTCAGGGCCCTACTGAGATAAAATAAAATAATAAGGTTGACAACAATATGAAATAAACAGAAATAATGAGATACAGCTATTGAGTAAATCGGATTACACAAAACAACAATTTATACGCAGAAAATAAGATAACACAGAGTAAACAGCTCAATACCAACACCAATAATGAGGATCTCCCAGGATACCGTCTCGTAGTCTACCGTATGAATATATCTGAAGGATCTCCCAGGATACCGTCCCGTAGTCCATTTTATCAATCTGTCCGAGGAGCACCCGGGATACCATCCCGTAGTCCACCATATGAATATATCTGAAGGATCTCCCAGGGTACCGTCCCATAGTCCAACTATCAATATGCTGGGGGATCTCCCGGGAATCTAACCCGTAGTCCCAAAGTAAATGTGCAGGGGGATCTCCCGGGAATCTAACGCGTAGTCCCAAAGTAAATGTGCAGGGGGATCTCCCGGGAATCTAATCCGTAGTCCCAAAGTAAATGTGCAGGGGGATCTCCCAGGAATCGAACCCGTAGTCCCAAGTAAACAAACAAAGGGGGGAGCTACTGGAATCCCGCATCCGTAGCCCCAATGTAAATGCGCAACCAAAATCAGAGAATATTCAGAAATTGAAGTACAACAATACAATGCAACATATAATTCTGGCCTAACATGCTCCACGTAATTACAATTAAGGCAAATTAAGCAAATAGGCAATTTGGATCAACTAAACATGCTTTTCTATACTAGCACAAGCTATAATAGCAAGTAGAATAAAGCAATTACGAAAGAAACTCAGTTCAAGTATTTTAAGTAAAAATTCGGGTTTTCAACAATTAGCTCAAGTACGCGCTCGTCACCTCACATACAAGGCATCAATTACCAAATATCACATCCTAAGGGACAAAGTCCCCCACACAAGGTTAGACAAGCCACTTACCTCGAACAAGTAACAAGTGCAAGTCAACCTGAAACCACGCTCTTGCCACGAGTTATCTGACTCCAAATGGCTCAAATCTATTCCAATTAAATTTGATATTGTAATATATAACTTTCAAGTTATTGATTCTACAGTTAAATTCTAGCTAATTACGCAAAATTGTGTATAAATGACCAAAAATGTCCCTCGGGCCCACATTCTCGGAATCGGATAAATTTTAACCATTTCAGACCCTCGTACTCTCACGAGTCTACCCATATAAAAATATCTTCAAATCGGGATGTCAAATTACCCACTCAAAATCAACATTTAGTCTAGGATTTTGACCATTTTCATTCAAAAATCCGAAAATCGAAGGAAATCATGATAAGATTAGTAGGTTATTAGCATAGAGAGTAGGAATCGTTACCCAATCGTTGCTCGCGGAAAACCCCTAAAATTTCTCCCAAAATCGACCTCTAGAAGTCAAAATGGAAAATGGGAACGGAAGTCCATTTAGACACTTTAAGTTTCTCTGCCCAGGCCCTTTTTTTCGCTTCTGCGGAAAATTTTCCGCTTCCGCGAATATTTTCCTTAGCGTACCGCTTCCACGCAAAATTTCCGCTTTTTGCGACAATTTTCCCGCTTCTGCGGTGTTATGACAGCAACCTAGCACTTCCTCGACACCGGAAATGAGCATAACTCCCTCATACGATGTCCAAATTCGATCGATTCTTTTTTGCTTGCTCCGGAAAATACGATACGGATCTAATGGTCAATTAAAACACTAATTTTGGAGCTCATTTACTTAATATGGCTACCCCTTTAGGTCCAAAGGTACGCGTTGAAACATCAAATAAGAGCGCAAATACACCCAAGAAACACCACCCGAGGGCCCCCGGGACCTCAACGAAGCACCAACGCATCTTAAAAACATTATCAAAACTTGCTGTTCCAATCCTCAAAACACCTCAAACAACGCCAAAACCATCAAATTACATCGAATTCAAGCCTTAAGTTTCCTCTAAAACTTCCAAAAACGCATTTCGATCAAAAAACCCAACCAAAACACATCCGAATGACCTGAAATTTTGCACAACATACCCAAATCACCTAACGTAGCTTACAACAACTCTCGGAATTCCAGTTGACCCTCGGAATCAAAATCTCACCTATCAACAGGAAAATCGCCAAAATATACTAACTTCATCAATTTCAAGCCTAATTAGCTATGGACTTCTAATTCATTCTGTACACGCTCCCAACCTTCGAAATCACCTAACGGAAGCTAACTGAACCATTCGGATTTTTCATTCCTAGCCGTTTTTCACACTTGTTCCAATTACGGACCATTTTCCACACTTATTAAGCTCTTCATTTTAGGGACTAAGTGTCCCAGACTCTCCAAAACTCAACATCTGAACTCCCGGCAAACCAAAATAGCAGAAATGAACACTTAGGGGAAACAGTTAATAGGGGATCGGGGCTGTATAATTTCAAAAACGACCGTGCCGGGTCGTTTTACATCCTCTCACGCCTTAAACATTCGTTCGTCCTCGAAACGAGCATAAAAAGGCATACCTGAAGTAGTGAAAAGATTGAGGGGTATCGGCTAGCGGAATATCCCGCTCGGTCTCCCAAGTCGCCTCTCGGGCCGGCTACCCCGCCACTGAACCTTTTACTGAGCAAATGTCTTTGAATCTCAACTTTCTGGAAATGTCTGTCTCCAATTATGCCACTGGCTCCTCAACCTAAGATAAATCCTTGTCCAACTAGACTGACTTGAAATCCCAACACGTACGACGGGTCCCTGGTTGATATTCCGAAGCAGCATCGAACATGAAAATACCGGATGAAACTTCCTGCCAACTGGGGAGTTAAAGCAAGTTCATAAGCAACCTCTCCAACACGGCTTCAATACCTCAAATAGGGCCAATAAAACCTCCGGACTCAATTTCCCTTTTCTATCCCAAATCTCATAACGCCCTTCACAGGCGAAACTCGAAGCAGAACCCGCTCTTCGACCATATATGAAACATCACGAACCTTCCTGTCCACGTAACTCTTCTGTCTGGACGAGGCTATACAGACTCTATCGGACTGAATCACTTTTAAACTTTTTCCAACGCATCCTGAACTAAGTTTCGTGCCCCAATACTCTAACCTCACTCGGCTCGAACCAACACCACCGAGTCTCTGGAGTGCGCATTTAATTAACCTGCACTCACGTTGCGGACCAATCGAGCTACAAGTCCGATTACGGCTCTGAAAGATACAACCTCATACTGACTGGAAAGGCCTTGAACATCCATCGCCATAGGTTCTTGATAAGTAGGTAAGCCAAACTTTCCCAAACCTTCTGAACCTGGCGACTCAAAAGATGGCACTACATTAAGGCGGTAAGTGCGAGCATTCTTCGACTAAACCCCTATGCTAAATGATCCTGCTACATATCTGCAAAACCGGTGTCATTAACTCACAAGCAGCCGACATAATTACGACTTAACATAACAATAGCTACCGTCCGGGACGAATTTCTTTCTAAACGTCGACGCGTTGCAATCATGGGAGCATATAAGCGATGTTCAGTTACTCCCTTCTCTGCTACGAGGACCAATATCCCAGGCGACCCGACCAGATCAAACGCGACAGCGCCAATCCATCAACCGCGCTCATTTCGTCCATTACCAGAAGATCCAATAACCGGTTCTATCCTTAGAAGTCTCCCATCACTAGCACGGAAGCACAGCTCTACGAAATCAATGACTGTCCGTCAGATCTTCAACACGAGCCTTCGCCCCAGGGTCGGAACGGTAATTCTTTCATAATATCCTCAAGTCTGTAATGGACGGTATGCATCTACCCCTACCGTCCTGCATCAACACCGCTCCAAGGCCAAACCCGCGAGGCATCACAATAACTGGTACAAGACCCCGAACCAGTAGGCAATATCAAAATTGGAGGCTGTAGTCAAAGCTGTCTTGAAGCTCTAAGCTCGCCTCACACTCCTCTGTCCACTTGAAATGGAGCAACCTTTCTG